TGTGTGTTAATGTGAGGACCCCTGTCCCTGCTTTACACCCAGATTAATGGTTACCAGTGTCAGTGTACCAGTTAGCTGTGGCAGAGATGGATAACACAGCAGAGGTTTACTGCCTGAATGTTTGACTTGCAGAGAATAAAAACCAGAGATCAATAGAGATTTCCCCCAAGCTAACCATGCTCTGAGTAACACTGATGGGGAACAGATGGGTTCACAGTGTGTGTACGTGTGTGTACGTGTTGGGTGTGCGTGGCAAACATTGGTACTAGACTCTTGTACTAGACTTTTTTTTTCCTCTGGTATTTTTCTGCATTTGTACATGTTCCACTGTTGTTGTTTTTGGATTGTTTTTTTTTTTTGCTCCACTCGGCCTCACATCGATTGTCGATCAAGACTCTTGTTCCTGAGCTTGAATCCACTGATTTTCGTTGTGTGAGTGGGTGTGTGTCAGATTTGCAATGTCGTTTTGTGTCAGAATTCATCTCTTTGCAGGCCTCCTCCTCTTCCTCCTCTTCCTCCTCCTCCTCTGATATGAGAAACACTCTGATGAGGATCAGAAAATGGAGGCTCAGAGAAGTGTTGGTAGTCAGGGAGCATATTTCTTGGCAAATCACTCATCCCAATATGGCAAAGTAACTGTCTTGTGAAGTGGTAGCCAACTGGTGTGTGTGTGTGTGTGTGTGTGTTTTGGGGTGGGAAAGTGGGCTGGAGTTGTAATGGGCGGGAGGGAGAGAGGGAGGGAGGGAGAGAGAGAGAAGGAAGGAAGGAAAGGGCAGAGAGTGAGAGAGAAAAGGAGGGAGGTAATGAAAGAGTCGTTTCAAGACATTTAAAGAAACATTTCCCTCTCAGCTACAATTTGGATGTTGTTTTTGGAACCGAGAACGAAAATGTTTTCCCTCGTTGTACTCCTCCCTGTTTTTGCTCCCTCACAATGTTCAGGGTGGGAGAATGGGAACTTGTATTGTGCGTTCCTGACGGCTGGCATGAAGAGTGCATGTGTGAGTCTGTACGTGAACTACACACACACACTCACACTCACACACACACATGGCATAATCTTAACTTGGCAGCTGCGGGCCAGAGATTGATCCAGACTCCAGTGGGAGAGTCTCTGCTTTTGTGGTTGGCCTTAAGGAACGCCGGCCGCTGCCAGGACCACCTGTCAGATAGTGGCGGCGTTTCGTCTTTGTCTGTCTGCACGTCGTGGTTCGAACGTAGACGCCACACTTCTGGAAATGTATAGAGGTGTTTACGGTGGGAGTAACCTTTGTAGCGTCGTTATATCTGGTGCGGAGCCTTGGCGCAGCAGAAACGGCAGTGCAGTTAAATCATGTCATCGTTTACACAATTAAATTGTGTGGAAGTCACGAGTTACTGGAAGCAAACCATTGGTCTATTTACAGCGTTGTGGAAAATGAATGAGGTTTTACAGCCGTGCAGACAAACAGTCACAAGATGCTTTTTAAAATATGTGTCTCAATATAGGACTCAGCAGATGTATATGAAACAAAAATTAAATGGTTTCAGTGGTTAATTTTAATTTGATGATGCTATCCTGAGATATTCTGTCAATCTTGAACTTAACTTAAATTAATTCTGTCCTTTTACTGCCATCAAAACTGCAGTTTGCTGGTGTTGTGTGTGTGTGTGTTTTTTCTTCTCCCAGCAGCAGTGGTTTGATGTATTTACTTTCTGTAATTACTGCTTTGTTTACTCATTTACACTGCTACCGAGCCGTGAAAAAGAAAAGCGGTGGGCGGAGTTATTAAAGGGCTGTATAAGGTGGGCCGTCCGACCGTCTTATTATGTGGGCGATGTTAATTTTTAGGAACATTCGTTCAGGGTTCAATCGTCGCGTGGATCTCTCTTTCTGCTGACGTGCCCTGCAGGTGTCAGCGTAGCGCTGCGTGAACCTGTGTAGAGAAAGAGTCTGCACCTGTACCAGCTGCAGACCAGGATGATGGAGCCGTAGTTTCCTCCCCCCTGGTCCTGAGTGCTGCCGTCAGGCAGAGAGACACACAAAAGAGACAGGACAAAACACAAGTACCTCATTAGCAGTAATGGAACCATTTAAATGTTCATACCCTGGAGTGTCTAAATGGTAATGACATATTAAGATATTCCACAAGTGGATGAACATATGAGGGAACAATTCAAAGAGGCAAAGAATTATAGACCAGATTAAAAACAAAGAGAGGAGATTTGCACGGTGTAGTGGTGTATGCATCGTCAGGGCCTGAGGAAATAATAAATCACACACACACATGCAACAACACAGGGAAGTCCCACAAAGTCCAAACATGAAAAAAAAGTACCAGTTTGTTTCTGTTGTATTTCCAGCCAACAGTGGGTCAGTATGAAAACACCTGCGAGTACAACTCTGTGCCCCACGCGGTGGGGGAAGTGGTTAGAGCATTTGCCTTACCGCAGTGATATCACCAGGTTCACTTGCTGGAGTTTCAAGTTTGAAACATGGAAATTATTTTTTTTGTTTTTGTTTTTAAAGGTTAACAAAATTACCCTGTTCACTCAACTTTGCCTCTTGACGTAAAGCTAAATCCTGGTTGTCTTGTTTTGCTCACGTTTGTGTGCGCATACTTGTGTGACTGCCCTCTGTGACTCAGAGGGCATTGACTGCAAACGCACCTGGAACTGTTGCACATGTCAGTGATGGTAGCGTGAGGCGGTGCAGCCGCTAACACCTTCGATCGCTCATGCACACGTGGTGCAGCTGAAGGAATCTGAGGGTCTCGCTGTGGAAACATCCACCTACGTTACACTGTTCAAAGCACGGGTAATGAAGGCAGCATATATGAGGCGGGGGTGGAGAGAGTGTGTGTGTGTGTGTACTTTCCTTGTTTGATTAATTGGAAAGCTGTATTTGCTATTGATTTTGAGAAGTGTGTGTGTGTGTGTTTGAGGGAGATGGAGTGCAGTTTTAATGTACTGATTTAGATGCAGGCGGAAACTCGGCCAGCACAGCATGTCGCTCCCATTCCCACAGGACACATACAAAAACACACTCTCATACATACACATACACAGACACACTTAGCCCCTTCCCCCTGCGCCGTCGCACACACACACACTGCACCCTTTCCCCTACACACATGGTTAGTTTTATCAGGGTAATGGCTGTGCAGTGCGGCGCAGTAATGGGCAGGGAGGGGGACGTCTCAGCTAAACATGAAACCCTCTCTCAGACGCTTGTGATTGAAAGAGGCAGTGATGGTTCAAAGGTTCAAAGTTTACTAATGGTCAGTGGTGCACGCACACACACACACACGCAGGGGCGGAATCTAATAAAAACAAGTCTAATAAAAAGCAGTCAATAGCCGTATCGTCTTGAGATATGAAATCTTTTATGAGGATTTACCCTGTCAGTGTGATGGAAGTGTGTTGAATAGAGGGGGCGTGGTTCCCTTCTATGGACGTTCTGGATGCATTGTTTGTACAAATCAGATTTGTTTGGAGTCAGATTTGCTCGGGTTGTGGTGTAAATATCAGTCACGATGAAGTTATTTTGGTAACGTGAACTTAATTAAGAGTCAAAGTGTTCCCGTCAGTCATGGTCTCGGCTCATGACTAACACTAACACTGGTGCAGATGTGTTCCATATGCTGGACGCAGACTATCAACACTGTCGACTCCAGATACAGTAATTCAGAGAACGGGTCAGGATCAATGACATTTATTCACTTAAAAAAAAAATCTTTTACTAGACAATCATACATCAACGTTTACGTTCCGCTATAAACACATTTTTTATTTGTTTGAGTTTATACAGCTGCACGTTCCATCAGTAAAACATATTTTTCTGATCTAACGTACGTATGTCCATGTTCAGCCAGGAATGATAAAATATTGGACTAACCTTTGGCTGCGGAACTGTACGTGTGCACAGACTCTGCACCTCTGCTCCAGCAACGATTGTTGAAAGTTTAGCCTTTATCATGTATGTATATACGTGTATATATATGTGTGTGTATATATGTATATATATATATATATGTATATATATATATGTATGTATATATATATATGTATGTATATATATATATATGTATATATGTGTATATATGTATATGTGTATATATGTATATGTGTATATATGTATATATATGTGTATATATATATGTATATATATGTGTATATATATATATGTATGTATATATATATATGTATGTATATATATATATATGTATGTATATATATATATGTATGTATATATATATATGTATGTATATATATATATATATGTATATATGTGTATATATATATGTATATATGTGTATATATATATATATATAATAGTTGTCTGTGAGACAACTATTATTATCATGTTGTGCAGCAGTTAATGATTGCAGGACATAAATGAGGATTAAAATAAATGCTCGTGTAATTACTGGTCCAAAGTTTATCGCTGCCTCTTAAAATTATCCAAGCATTTCCAACTTGTAATTTCTCAACCCTTGTCTAATCTAAGAGACTGTTGTTGTTGTTTTTTTAAATTTTTTTATTGTGTTTCGTAAATGTTGAATGATCAAATATATAAACAGTTGTTTGTTTTTTGTTTTTTTATTGACCAGATTTTACTGTTGAAGTGTGAGTGTGGATGTTTTGTTATCAGCTGGCCAATAACCCATCAGATTACTGTGTTCTACCATGGGAGGCCTCCACTGTGTTACATCACATCATGGCTCCACTCCGCTGTCGTGACGACTGTGGTTTCGGCCGGCGGTTACATTAACTGTCTTTTGTTCGTAGTCTCTTGTGTTTGTGGTCACTCTTGTTGAAATAGAGTGCACGGTGGCTCAGTCATAAAGTGATTACATCAGAATGCCTCACCATATGAACATCAGCATGTATTGATTCTACACACACACAGACACACTACAGTACAGTACAGTAGAGTTGATTATCTCTGTCACATTATTAGTTCACTTCATGTGCTGCATGCCAGCGGGACTAAAAGTCTTTCCTGTTTTTTTTTTCCCCAGGTGACACCTTCACATCAGGCTCCAGTCCCTTCCTGTCAGGTTATCAAGGCCCTTCCCCCTTGACCTCTGACCCCACGTACAGATCAAGCAATCCCAGCAGCCTGCAGATGGCTCAGCTCTGGGCATCACATGCCCATGAAGGTAAAAAAAAGAAAAGCCTCAACAAACGCGTATTTTCTCTGTGCCTTTGTCTTTTTACAATACATGAGGGAAATGCACATGGACACGTGACATCATTTTTCCGTGACATTTCTCACAGTCTGCACCTGTCCAATGCCCAGGAGGCTTGTTCCTCTTTTCCTCCTCATCATTTACACCAGTGGGATCCTGTTCCATTTCTGTCTCCCTGCCAGTAGCTCCACTCCCGGCTCTGTCCTAAATGCATCCCGCTTCCCGTGTCCACCACCTTCCTCCCAACTTCACCCTGTCATATGCAACTGTAATCCATCCTTCTCTTACTCGTTTGAGGCTCCCCTCTCCTGCCTGTCATTTGTCTGTCTCTCCATGCCTCTGCTGCCCCACTTTTTCCCCTCAAACATTTCTATTTTTCGACCCGGCTTCGTTAACAGTTTTTCAGCATATTGACAGCGGTGTGAAGTTTACAGCAACTTACCTCACCTTAAAATAGAGGGTCACAACGGAGGAATTAATATTTTAGGGCTGTGCGTTTTAGCAAAGTAAACATGAAAATCATTTGAAAAATTTATTTTAAAATATAACCTCAACATCCCTGATGAGATCTGGTAAAACTATATTTGGCGTTTAGAATTCAAGATAAGTTCAGTGGTAAAAAGACCAAACAAAAGATAATAATAAAAAAGTAGAAAATTTTAAAAAAGGTCACGTTTATATTGCGTGGTCTCTGCTGACCATGTGCGGCGTTGCAGCCTCTGCCAGGCTGTTTTGCTTCAAATGAAGCCAAAGAATGGGACGTCAGAAGAATTTATGAGCAGCAGCAGTGATTTTTATCTGATCAGACGTTTTTTGTTTTTTGTTTCTTTAGCCAAAGAATCTGAAAGTTTAGAAGAAAGCAGTCACAGCATCTGACCCTGATAATATTCTTTCTGGCCTAAAAAAAAAACTGGTTGATATTATTTGGTTTTTGGCCACATGAGCACCTGGGATTATAGAGAGAGAGAGAGAGAGAGAGAGAGAGAGAGAGAGCAAGGTTAGCTGTTAACTGTGGTTTGGAGAAACCCATCCCACATTCCTTTACCCTCGTCACATCATTCCTCTTATATTTCTGTCTCCCTATAGTTTCCTCCCTCTACTGACACTCCTGCCACCCCCCCCCCCACACCCCCGCTGGCTCCATATCTGCCTCTAGAAATGGAGAGGAGACAGATTTATACTTGGGCTTTGCTCCCTGACACTTTGCACCGGTCCAGTGGCGGTGTCTTTGATAGTTCTGGGAATGGCCGGAGTGTGGGAACAGGGAATGTCTCGCTCTCTCTGGGTGGCAGTCTTTTTAAAAAACAATCTTGCAGCCTAACACAGTGCCGTGAGCCAGCGTCGGAGTAGCAGCCAGCACGGCCCGAACACAGACACCCGGAGCATTACACCAGAATGCGACGCTTTGTCTATATTAAGATCTGGTCTCTAAGAGCAGCAGCTGGCTGACAGGCAGACTTTTGACCCACTATCGGGAATAAAATAAACTGTCGTAGGTGGCGTGAGGTCGGCAAACTGTTTTCTTATGCAACAGAGTCGGAGGCAGAGATGGAACGATGCAAACAATTCAAAACATTTGTCCAATCTGGTTTGTGTGAATTTAAAGTATATTGTCTCGTCTTATAGTGGATTAAAATAAAGGCAAATCACTTTAAATAATAAAAAAAGAGTGCATTTGAATCGAAGGATTTATGTGTTTTGTTTTTTTATAATGAACGTTAGTGTTAATTTTTATGTCAGATTTGATTTAAATTAAGTCATTTGTCTAAATTCTAACACATTGTAATGTAATCTGTGGAGCTACTTTAATTTGAGTTCAGTTTTAATCAACTAAAAATATTTTACTCTACTTAATTTAAAATAAATTTATTTGAATAAAATGTAATGTGTGCTATTTTGGGAAATTTACTGCACCCATAATCAAACGTTTAGTGGGAATTTATTTTAAATTTAATATTATCATTAATATTGCCTGAACACTTTATACAATTATACAGTATTATATGATTAATGCCATTGTCTTTCTACCTTTGTGTGAATCTCACGGCTGCAGATAACACTTCAAGTTTGTCACTTTCCTCAAATAGTCGTTTCACACATTTAACAGTGTGTTTTTCGTTTTAGATAATGAGGAAAAGTCATATTGTTCCATATATCTTCATAGTTGCTGCTGCTCTGTCTCCTGGTTTATGGAAATGTCAGTGTATGTGAGATATTTACTTATCGGAACCTCTCTGTTTTAGAGCTGTTTTGGACCTGACTGAATATTGTGTTATTTATGCTCACATCCTCGTCTCGTGTTCTCCAAAACAACGCTCGTTTATTAACAAAAGAGAAAGTGTC